ACGCATACTTGTACTCCCGATCTTCTGTGATGCATCGAAGATGGAGCCTATACCTTGGTGGCGCCAGTTCGAATTAAAGCTGGACATCCACCATGGCGTCCACACAAACCGGCACGCATACTTGTACTCCCGGTCAGGAGGTGCGTGCCAAGTATGGCTGGACAACATGTTGTCCGCACATGCATGCACAGTGTCCGAGTCACACAACTTCATCACCTGGGCCGATCTCACGGCGGCATGGAAGAAGCGTTTCCAAGTGGAACCCCCCGAGCATCAGGCGATGGACAAGCTACTGACATTCGCACAGAACAGCATGCCAAGCGGAGACTGGATATCTGAGTTCCAACGCCTGGCGAGCACCCCCAAGCTGCCGATGAACTTCGATGGCATCAAGCTCTACTTCATCAAGAGGTCGCGCCCAGCATTGCAAAATGCGTTAACTCAGGGCGCCGAGAACCTCAACACAGGTGAGGAACTCTTCAACAAGGCCGCACAGATCATTGTGGCGAACTTGGAAGCCAAGAACATTGGTCGACTGCCGGCCAGGGCGCGTATCAGCATCGACCGAAAGTGGCCGTGGTCGCGGAAGCAACGCCAAACGACCCTTCAACTTCAAACGAGGCTGTCTCGTCTGCCGAGGGAGACAGATTAGCAGCTGCCCAGAATGGTGGCCGCCCCGCCAAAGGACGAGGATGCGGCAAAATGAAGACAAACACCACTTCGTCTGGGCCCGGACAAGCAACTCCAACTCAAGAACCTTGGACACAATACGGTCTGACAGAGCACGGGTATCACGTCCGCTCCAAATACCGTTATTGCTTATGGTGCAACTGCGCGGCACATGAGACCGCGAACTGTCCCACAAAAGCCAAGGGCTCCGCTCAGTCGGGAAAGTGAGCACCGCCGAGAGTGATGCGGCGACACTCTCGACGCCTTCGGAACCAGTTGCCGTACGGGTAACCTCCCTCGGCTCCGGGGCAAATGCGGAAGTCGTAAGTCCTCCCATTCTTCATTCTTTCGAGGACTGTGCTGCCCGACTCGTACCTTCGCTGAATTCACGAACCGAAGGACATGATGTATGTGCGGTTTCTTCTCCGTTTGGAAGCAGCGACATCGAGTCGTCTTCAAGTGGACCTTCACGGGATCTGGCGCGCGCGTTCAACATAGAGGACTGGGACCGATTGACTCCCGAGGATTTTGCATGGCTCCCTCTCCCTTCCACCGACTGCTTACCGGAGTCGCAATGCGCAACTCTTAGCGCTCATCTACATACATGCCTAGCCTTGTATGCACCACCAACTTCGTCGACGGAGGACGAAGTCGCGGTGGGGGACATTCTTGCGTATGTTAGCAAGGTGGCCCGCGAGTTTCGCACGCAGCGGTATGACGACAACAACGCACCGCTCCTTTATGTCCACATCCAAGTTGGGCAAGCGTCCTGCAGCACTTTGCTAGATAGCAGCGCAACTTGCAACTTCATTAGCCAGTCCTTTATGCAAAGGGCCGACCTTGGCCCACGAGTTCGAAGGAAGGCACACCCTACGGCGATCAAGTTGGCGGACGGTAGGACACAACAACTCCTTGACCGCTACATCGAGGCCGTACCGGTATATTTCGCACCTCATGCATGCGAACTGGTGACGTTTGACGTCTTGGACACAGACTTCGACATCATTTTGGGCATGCCTTGGCTTGCAAGTGTGGATCACATGGTCAACTTCCATTGGCGGACACTTACGGTCCGCGACGCGTTTGGCGCCGAAGTACCATGTACCATCCCTCTTCCGCACCCTTCGATCCGGTGCCCAGTCGTGATGGCCAAATCTTTTCGGGCCACTTGCGCTTACGAGCGGACCAACGAGATAGGCCTATGTTTTCTTCGCACCGTCGCGGCAACCGAATCTCAACCCACGGACTTGTCTTCGGACCCCCGTGTGGTACGGTTGCTTGACGAATTCGCCGACATCTTCGAGTCACCTACTGGCGTGGTGCCGGATCGACCGATCTCACATGAGGTCATTCTCGAGGCCGGTGCCGCGCCGCCGAAAGGTTGCATCTATCGCATGAGCGAGGAGGAACTTACAGTACTCCGCGGGTAGCTCGATGATTTGTTGGACAAAGGCTGGATCCGGCCTAGTAGCTCACCCTATGGTGCACCGGTTCTCTTCGTGCGGAAGAAGAACAAGGATCTTCGCCTATGCATCGATTACCGCAAGCTCAATGCACAAACCGTCAAGAACGCGGGACCTCTTCCTCGTATTGATGACCTCCTGGAGCGGTTGGGCGGCGCAATTTTTTTTTCCAAGTTGGATTTGAAGTCGGGGTATCATCAGATTTCGATACGCCCGCAAGATCGCTACAAAACCGCGTTTAAGACACGGTACGGGCATTTTGAGTGGGTCGTCATGCCTTTCGGATTCACCAACGCCCCAGCGACTTTTCAAGCGGCGATGACCAACGAGTTTCGTGCAATGCTAGACCGGTTGGTGCTGGTCTACTTAGACGACATCCTCGTCTATAGCCGGACCTTGGAGGAACATCTCGAGCATCTTCGACGAGTGTTGGAGACGCTCCGTCGCGCCAAGTACAAAGCCAACCGCGACAAGTGTGAATTCGTACGTCAAGAGTTGGAATACTTGGGCCATGTCGTCACTCAAGGGATCAGTCCGTTGTCGGACAAGATTCAAGCCATCCAAGATTGGCGGAAGCCGCAGAACGTCACAGATGTCCGTTCGTTCCTTGGCCTTGCCGGCTACTACCAACGTTTCATCAAAGGGTACTCGAAGATCGCGGCCCACTTATCCAAGCTTCAATGCGAGGACCGGCCATTTGACTTCGGGATGGATGCGCGAGAATCATTTTTGACCCTCAAGGCTGCATTGTTGTCTGCGGAAGTCTTGCGCATATACGACCCGCTATTGCCAACACACGTCACTACGGATGCGTCCGGCTATGGCATCGGTGCCGTCCTCGAACAACATGATGGCGTGGACTGGCACCCGATCGAATACTTCAACAAGAAAGTGTCGGTCGTGCACTCAATCGATGATGCACGCAAGAAGGAACTTCTCGCCTTCGTCCACGCACTCAAGCGGTGGCGACACTTCCTCCTTGGTTGACGCCAATTCCGATGGGTAATGGACAACAATACGTTGGTCTTCTACAAGACCCAGGACACCGTCAACAGCACGATCGCCCGTTGGATGGCTTTCATCATAGATCGCACACATGGCGCGATCATAAGACACGCACACGAAAGTCTCTAGTCGTCTCCCAGACTCACATGGCCACACGAGCGAACCGATCGTGAATGGATCATCCATTCAAAATCGATGACGATGTGCTCATCGACGCACGTTCAAGTGTCTCGCTCCTTCGGTCCATGTCGCATTCTTCAGGCCGTCGGTTGTGATACTGCCGCTAGTCCGATCAACTTTCGTGTGAAGTTGCTCGACTACCTACGACAGGCTCACGTACACGATGTTTACCACATTTTTTTATTGCGTCCTTATCGCAGATCGTCCGAGTGATTCGTCAGACGCCCTTACGAGTGCCTTCCACTTTTTTTTTTTTTTCCTCGTAAACTTCACGGGCAGGAAGTCCACCTAACGAGGTGATAAGAGCATTCTCATCAAGTGACCCCTGCAGCGAAGGCTCCATGTATTGGTGGGGAGCAACACCTGTTGGAAATCGGGTCCAACGTCCATGTATAATGATATTATGAATGGAAATCATGTAGATAGGCCACGTGGCCATCCCAATATAAACCGATCATGACTGTGTATATCCTTTACGCAGACGAGGCATTGATTACTCCCCGGACCAGGGGAGGATTAACCTGCTGCTCTTATAACCCTAATGTGGCCATCCCCCGGTATAAACCGATCATGACTGTGTATATCGTTTATGCAGAGGCATTGATTACTCCCCCATACGAGGGGAGGATTAACCTGTTGCCCTTATAACCCTAATGCATCACAAGGTAAATGAGGGGGCCACCCCACATGTCAATTCATTATTAGTGTAAGGGGAGGAAAACCCATATGGTCTTGTGCCCACCTTAACCACCCACCTTCATAACCACAAACCTATCTAGCCTATCAAAGCACCCGGTAATTAGGGATGAAGGGCCGACAATCCCCTTAAACCGTTACTCAATAGCTAATCCACCCCTACTCGAAGGATGACAAAAGACAAAGAATGCAAAGGAAAACCCCCTACAAATGGGGGGAGAAATTGAGGAAGTGTTGTTGTTGTTGTCGTTGTTGTCGCATGTGTCGTCGTCGTTGTTGTTGTTGGTGGTGTTATTGTTGTCGTCATCGCCGCTGCTGCCACTGCCGACACCATTGGCGTTAGTGTTGTTGTTGTTGTCGTTGTTGTCGCGTGTGTCGTCGTTGTTGTAGACTTGTAGTTATGGTTGGTGTTGTGGTCGTCGTCATCGCCGCTGCTGCCACTACCGACACCGTTGCCGATGTAGATTGTGTAGTTGGTGTCGCATGTGTCGTTGTTGTTGTTGTTGTTGTTGGTGTTGTTGGTGTTGTTGTTGTCACCATCGCCGCCGCTGATGTATGTACGGTTGATGATGCGATTGTTGGTGTTCTTGTTGCAGTCGATGCCATCGTAGCTGCCTGCGCCTCGATCGCATCGCACAGGGCCCGACCATCCGCGAAGATAGCATAGTACCGCTGCATAAGGGTCTTCGCTTGCCGCCAATCAATGAGGTCATCCAACTGAGGAGCCGGCCCCTCCTCCAATTCCCAGACGAGCGCCTTCCACCTATTACGGTGGAGTATCACGAGGAGTTTGTTGTTGCTGACATCGTATCTTGTAGGGTTACCGATGATACCCATCGAGTATCTTGTGTGGTGGAAAGGCTATCCTGATGAGGAGGCTACTTGGGAGCCCCTCGAACACTTGGAGCACGCCCAAATGTTGGTGCGTGTATATGATTGTGCTCGTCCTGCTGAGACATCTGCTCTTACTCAGCCAACTAGCCCTCTTCCTCCTCCGACTGAGGAGATTGCTGAGGACGAGCCGACTCTCTCTAAGGTCGTTCTTCAACAGCAGACGAACGCCTCCCCGCGTTCACAACGCACTTGTCGACGCCCTCGGCGTCTTGACGACTAACACTCTTATTACCTACCTATCTCCTACCACCGACTCACACTATCAAGTACTCCATCATCAACTTCTTTAGGATGTCAGCGTTTTCCGTTTTGCTTCGACAGCGACTTGACTCCTACTTCGTTGATGGCATCGACCACCTCGACGACTTCAGCTACCTTCTCGACGTCAACTACCTTATCAGTTTCAGCTACTTTGGACGTGATTACTTCACGTCATGACCCTACCTTGTGCATTTCTTTGTATGTGTTGCATGATGGTTCTTACTTAGATGGTTTTCCCTGAGTTGGGCTCTCCCTTGGTATCACACAGTCATATGGGACCGTAGCATTATCTTGGCTTCCCTGCTCCCAGATCTGGCTTCCTCCCTGGTCGGTGAGTTGTGTGCATGTTTCCCTCACCCACTACCCACATGTGTTGGCCATTGCATGCCTTCGGTTTGGCATATCTCCACCCTATTACAAGCTCCCCTTTGATAGTCGACCCTGGATGGTGTCACCCTTTTGTCGAGCATTACCCGCCTTGATGGTCTATCTGTTAGGGTCATTGGTTTTGTTTCGCTACCACTCCCTCGCCTTGAGCTCGATGACCTATCCCATCTTTTTGTGTGACTTCTCTTAGGAGTTTCGATTCTTAGGTTGCATTCAACCCCTTCGAAACCATCCCACTCTTAGTGGTTCAGCGACACGACATTATCTTGTGACACATTGCTATCTTTTCCTTTCAGCATTGAGGCAGTTGCCTCTAGGACTTTAGAATTGTACCCTGCTACATTTCATTTCCTGCTGATAGCTAGGATGTGTATACCAGACATTTGCTTTCGCTTTGACACTATGTTGCTTAGGCTGCATCGCATGGACTCCACATGGAGTTTGCTCTGCATCTTAGATTTCTCAGCTTTATTGTTGTAGAGTTCCGCTGCTTTTGCGGAAGCGTGTTTATGGCTCTCGTGATCCACTATAGGTATGAGGATCGTGCAGCGTGCCTCTGGCTGCCCTGGCCTAGAGCCAGGGCTATCTGGCTATTTTGCCTGTTTGGCCTGTGGGACCAGGCCGTGGTCTGACCCCATAGGCTGTGTGCTCATTCAGTCCAGTCCAGTCCAGTCAGTCCGCTGGGGGTATATTGCAGCTGCAGTCTGTTTTCACTCTCATTCTTCATTTGCACAATTTGGAGTACGTGCGTGTTGAGTCTGTGTTGGAGCTGCATTGTCCCTTCCATCTCCATCTCCATCTCCCGCATCCTCATCCCTTCGTCTTGATTCCGGCGGACCGCCATCCCGGTGGGTCCATCACAGTGGATCCCATATCCGTGGAGAAGAAGGGATGAGGATGAAGGTGGAGATGGAGATGGAGCTGAAGGGGAGAGAGACAGCACCACCAAGGACTCAACATGGCATGTACTCCAAAACCGCACAATGAAAAATGAGCAAGAATACAGACTGCAATTGGCGTATAGCCCCAATGGACTGACTGGACTGGACTGGACTAGACTGGACGGGTACCAATGGCGGTACCTGACTGAATGAACACAAGGCACACCGCCTGTGAGATCACGCTGGCGCCCTCGTCCCACAGGGCAAACAGGCACAAGGCCAAATAGCCCCAACCAGCTATAGACCAGGGTAAACAGAGTCCAGTTGCAGCAAGCATGTGTCTGGTTCTTTTTTTTTTTTTTTTCAATCCCCATCTTGCCCCTTGTCCCAGGACCTGTTTTGTCATATGCCATCAAAGCCTTTGACCCTATCTTTGCTACAGTGTTGCTGGACTTTACCCCCACTTTCATCTTTGTTTTTTCCTTCTCCAAAAGTTCATGTTGATTAGAGTTGCATATCTATTTGCTCAGGTGCGGGAAGACTTCCTGACTATGAAATTTTCATGTTCTGACATTGTTCGACATCCGTCACCTGAAACCACGCCAACCATTTTTTTTGCAAGTTAAGAACACTTCTTTATTTGCGTGTGTCATCCTTGCACAACAAGGGCTATGCTAATGTTCTCTGTATCGGTCCACTTCTTTTTTTTTTTGGGGGGGGGGTCCTACTCTTTGTAAGACTCCCTCCCCTCAAAAAAAGATAAAAGAAAGAAAAAGACTCCCTCCCAACCTTCCTCTCGTCCCTTCTCCCTGACACACCCCCTAATCCCCCAGTCGTACCTCAGTGTCTACCACTCAGGACCAACACCCTTCTACCAGGTTGGCGAGGCTGACTTGACACGACAGCTGTTGTGGGCACCAGGGCTGACGCATGCCCAATGGGACAAGGCGTAGGGAGCCAAGTATCCGCAATGTGATGAAAAGGACTGAAATGGACAATGCAAGGTCAGCGTAGCATCAACAAGCAATGTACCTTCCGATACATTCAAGATGGCACAAAGTGGCGCAGCGGAAAACTTTAAAGAGAAGATCTGATCTGATCTGGACTGACCCGACATCCATCATACATCACACATGTGAGAGGGGAGGAGGGACCGCAATCACAGGAGAAAGGTCCCTCCTTCACACATACCTCCTTCACACATATACATGGGGAGATGCCACGGATGAGAGATGGGGGAAAGGGACGAGATGAAGGAGAAGGAGGCGAGGGAGTAGACCAAGATCGCGATAGCGAAGTCCCCAAAATAGTCCCTTGCCGAGTGTCCAATCAATGTCTGTCCCAAAAATGTCGAATCAGATCCTGGGCAATGTGCCCAATATAACCTCTGCCTGTATCTCCTACCGATAACCTCTCTCACTCTCGTATGTGAAGAAGAGATMAGRAGGAGGARGRAGRAGAAGAAGAAGRRRG